CTCTGGGACGTGGGGGCCCAGGGTGGGGAGGCATCGCATTCCAGATGTGCAGGCTTGCACTGTCTGGGGCCGGCTCACAGCCAGGGCACCTGGCCTCCCTGGCTACCCTTCCTTCCTTCAGTTCCAGAGCCCCTGAGGGTGTGATTTCACACTCCGGCACACACAAATACAGGCGCCTTGCACACTTCAGCCTGCAGGCGCAGCACGTACACACACTGCTCCTAGCCCCCCACGCACAACGAAGGGGTGGGACATTCTGTTTGGTGGGGTAGGAGGAGGTATGTAAAAGGGGACGGTGTGTGTCTGTCCATCCAGTGTCCATCTGGGTCTTCTGTCTCTAGCTCTGGGTGTCAGGCTCCGGGAGCCCACAGAACACCAGCCTCAGCTGGAATGAATCCACCAGCTGGCCCCCAGTACCTGCCTTCCTGAAGGGCAGACCCTGGGTGCTGGCCTCACGGGTCCTTCTCTCCCCAGGGAGACAAGAGCCAGACGCTCGGCAGCCACTGAGCAAACATTCCAGCTCTGGGCCTCTCTCCCAAGGTGACCCATGGCTGTGTCTTGTCTGGCCCCCTCCTTCCTGACATTTCTCCTCCCTCCGCAGCCAGCAGTGAGGCATAGACCTGTCTTCTGGAGGCCAAGAGGAGAGAAACCACATCCCTGCTCCTTCCCTTCAAAGCAGCCTCTCTCTCCCCTTTCTTTATGTGGACCTCCCAGGGAAAGAAAGCCAGAGAGGACCCAGATTCTCTGCCTGGGCTGACCACTCCCAGATTCCAGAGTGAGCCAGGTGGCATACTGCAAGCCCCGGGGCTCCCCGAGACCCTTCAGTGGGACTGGAGGTCTTTTACTGGCCCCAAGCTCCTCCCTTTTGCTAGATGCTGTCTGAACTATGTAGGGGGACCCACCCCCGGGGTGCAGTATGGCATGGTGTACCCCATTTTGGTCCTTTAAGCAGAAAGCAGCAGTGGAAACCAAACGCATGGCTGGTATCTAATGTGCATACAGGGCCAGCTCCCCCGCTCAGGCTGCAGCCCTCTCTTCCTGTCCTGACCGCAGGTGAGGGAGTGGGTGATGGCAGAAGAGCCAGTGAGATCACAGGCTGTGATGTCATGGCTACCCCTCCCTGTCTCTACCTCCTCTGACCCACATGCACAGAAAGGCCGGAAGGGCCACGAGCAGAATGGAGAGGCCCCCAAACCGTTGGAGCTGCCTGGGCATTTTACCCAGACACTTTGCCAGCCAGCTTGGCATCAGCTCCACAACAAAATTTGTAGTCAGTGGTCACAGCTCTCCTCACCAGCCCGCCAGATTCCTCTGATGCTCAGAGGACCACACCCCCAGCTCACAAACCACATGCGCGAAGGGAGCCAGGATCATAGCCCTGTCCAGGCTGCGGGGCTCCAGCCCGAGAGAGCACCCGGGCCTCCACCCAGGACAGGGTCTTTGTGGAGAGCAGAAGCACCGCTGGAGGCAGCTCGGGACCGACCCGACCCATGCAGCTGCCCTGGGCGCCCGTCCCAGGACTCCATCACCACTACGGACTCGGGCCCTCTAACGACGCAGGGGCTGTGCTGGTGGGCCCTCCCAGTCTTCCCTGGGCCCATGCGCAGAGGCTGTCTCTGGGTGGTGAAGGGTGCTCAGGAGCTGGCTGCAGGCCACCGATACATATTCCAGAACTTAATCAATGAATGTGTTCTCTGGACCCAGCCCTCCCTCACCTCCAGTTGCTTCAGGCTTCTAGTTTAGATGAGCTCCAGCGCAGCTGCCTACCGGCTGAGGAGATTCCATGTTAGAGGAAGGCACCCTTGCTGCTCCAACTGTCTCCAAGTCCCTGAGGTCCCCTGGGTCCTGAGTGCATGGCCGGCAGCAGAAGAGCTAGGATGGACCTGCCCCAGACTGCGGTCCCAACCTGGGAACCAGTTGGGATAACCACATACCCCAGAGCTCCAGGCTCCTCCCTCTGGGCACACCTCTCTAGCCCTTGGAGGACAGGACACCAGCCCTGGCCTGGCGGTCAGGAGACCTGGCTCTGCCTTTGCTTCACCCTCTGATGTTGGCCAGCTGTCCCCTCCCTGGGCCTCTGCTCCCCAGCCTGTCACCATTCCCCAGAAACTCTTCCTGCCAGGGTCTAGTCTCCAAGAGCCAGAGGGTGGGGTCAGGCTCCTGAGGCACCTGGGTGCTTCCAGGACCAACTGTTGGCTCAATTATAGAAGGAAAGTTGGATGCCCTATACTGTCCCGTCGCGTCTTCTTCCCCCCCTTCTCCTTTTGCCTCCCCTTCTCCCTAATCCCACAGGCTTCTCAGTTATGAGAAGGTTATAAGCTTGAATGCAAACATAGCCAGCTTTGAACACAAGCTGTCCCACTTGGTAGCTGTGTGCTCCTGGGTGAGTCACTTAACTGCTCTGAGCTTTGGTTTCTTCACCTAGATACATGGGGTGAAAGCACAGGGTTTCAAGAAAGGAAGAGATACATTTTGGAGGGAGCCTGTCACATCATCTGGTGGCAAATAGGCGCTCCGTAAATGGGTCTTCCTTTCCGGTCCTCTGCCGAACAATTTTCCAGTTCCTGGACTATATGCCCTTGCTGTGCTAGAAGGAAGCTTCTGGGCACACCAGTTTCCAACCGTGTGTTAGGAGTTTAGTGCAGCACTCTGCCTGCCAGAGAGGGCAATGCTTAACCCACAGCAGGGTGGGGCTTGCCAGGAGGCAGGGGACATATTTCTGGCTCGCTGGTAGCCTTTCTGGGCACCTCCCAAGTCACACCCTGTGCTTGATTGTCCCTACATACAATGCTGATGCTAGAATCTGTGAAAAGATTTGCTGCCCTAGTTTGCAAAAATATAGTAGTGCCTGACTTGGGAGGTGGGGGAGATAGGGAGAGGGCAGCCAGATGTTTCCCTAAAGAGTCATGAGGTCCCAACGCAGCCTCCTCCTGACCAGCCTACTTCTTGTGCTCCTGCCCCCTCCCAGCCTCACTCCCTCCCCTCCCCCATCCCAGGAACATCTGGTTCCAATCTCCTCCAGATGCTGTGGCCAAGCTGTTTTATGGCCAATCACCTCAGCTCAGCTTCCTGAAGGCCCCCCTCCATTTCGGGGAATGGTCCCTCCTCATCCCTTTCCTTGGGACCCTGGCACCTTGGAGAAGAGACACAAAGCCAGATGAAACTGTGAGGGTCCTCAGAGCTGGCACCTCCCCTCCCACCTCCTTGTGGGGGGGGGGCTGTCTCTTCCATCCAGGATTAAAAGAAAGATGCTGGCCCAGAAGGAAAGGAACGGGCAGGGGAGAATGGGTGAACATCTGGACAGAGGAGACTGTGTGTGTGTGTGTGGCCACACGTGTGTGTTGGGTGTGTCTGTGCCTGCACAGCAGAACACCCCACCTGTACCCGGAAGTGCCCCTTGGTAGCCACCACTTTGTCTTCCCTCCCTGTCTGCACTGGAGCAGGGCTACTCGGGCCCCTCTGCTGGACAGTAGCAGCTGCGGTCCAAGGTGGTCCCTTACCTTGAAGTCCTCTGTGGCCACCAAGGCTGTCTTCTGTATCCAAGCCAGAGAGGCGACGTGTGTGTGTGTGTGTGTGTGTGTGTTTATGGTGTGTATGTATACATAGACCTCTCTCCTTCCATCTGGTCAGATTAGAGGGACACAGGCCAGAAAGGACCCTGGGGGATACTTCGGCAGATGCCCTGATGGACACCTCGAGCAGCCCAGGGCTGAATGCCAGAGAGCGGCCATCTGGAGGGAGGAAAGAGGAGCAGCCTCTCTGGAGGAGACCTACATGCAGCCCCACCATTACCCCTGCGGCAACTTGCTCCTTATACCCTGGGAGGCGATCTCTCCTAAGAAACTCAGAAAGGTTTACAAAAGGAAAATTGAAGCCTGTGCCTCTGGAAGACCCTGAAAACCCCTCGGCTGGTGATGGGGGTGGGTGGTCTTGACCAGAGGTGGAAGGAAAGACCCTGTAGGTCACTCCCCATCCTTGGAATCCTGGACTCCTGATATTCCCCACCACTCCTTTAAAATAAGCCTCCTTGGCATTTGTGACTCCACAGCCCCCTCTGGTGTTACTTGGGAACTAGGCACAGCCATGATCAGCCAGAAGTGCTGTAGAGACTAAGACCCTTGCGAGGGCCACTGCGTCTGAGACCCACCTTGCCTGTGTCTCACTGTCCCAGGTGGCCCCTGGCATACACAAGGGGAGACAGGGCAGTCAAATGGGAAGATTCCAACTTCTGGATCAAATCATGACCTACTAGCTGTAAGATACGGGCAAGCCTTTTAACTTCTTTGTGCCTCAGTTTCTTCATCTGGTAAATAGGAATAACACAGCACAGAGCCATTGTGAAGACCTAAAGGAGTGGATGTGTGTGAAAACATCTGGCCGGATGCCTGGCACATAGTAGGCCCTCAGGAAGTGGTGTTTGCCCTTCAGTTTTCCTTCCTAGTGCAAGGAGGCTGTGCCCCAAGCTTTGAATGACACGTTCATTTGGCCCTGAGTCAGGCAGTGTTAAGGAGGTGACTCTAATTTTTCTGGAGCTTTTCCACTCCAGCAGAGGATCATTTTAATAAGTCCTTAATAATAGACGCAGAGGTGACTCAGATCTGCAAACAAGGAGCCCAGCTGGGGAGGGGACACTGGGGATCTGGGGGAGGGGAATTCAGTGGCATCTGGGTCTGAGGCAGTGGCAGGCTGCTGCACTGAGAAGGGCTCCAAACAGGGGGGCCTGTGGACTCAGTTAGGCCTCCAGATTGCTACAGGTTCTCCCCTAAGACGCCTCAGTTTCCCCACCTGCAATGTGCAGGATAGCGCCCAATGACCTCCAAAACTCCTTCCAAGCTGGAGACGTGATTCTGCTTTCGGAGCTCTGCCTCCCACAGCGAGCTCTGGGACACCCCTGGAGACGATTCCAGGTGTCCGGCCCCAGGGGCATCCCCATTCAAGCTCCTCTGTGACTATCCAGCTTGCCCAACCCACCCCTCTCAGAGCCGAAGGAGAGGCATGGCTCTCAGGTCAAGGTGGTTTATTGATGCACGTCGCAAGCACAGCACAGGCGGGTGTGCCCCCAGCCCAAGGCAGACACGGGGCCAGGGGAGGGCAGAGGACCACCCTCTCGGCAGAGGGGAGAGGGCCTGGGGCCCACGTCCTCTCCTCCATGCATCTCCCACAGCTCTCAGACCTGATCCATGCCACGGAGACAGCTGACCACACCATTCCCTGTGGCTACAGAAGAGGAGACCGGCTGTCCCACCTGCCCCCTCACTGAGATATGGCCTTGTTGGCCTGCTGCCCTCTTCTGTCTTTCATCACAGAAAGCCGGCTGTCACTGTAGGGGGTGCTTTCCTCCACCTGACATCACCTCTGTCATCCCCCGAACAGCTGGCTGCCTTAGTTGACACCTCTCTCCATCACATCACTTGCTAGTCTCTGGGTCCTCCCTCACCACTCCCAAGACCTGCACAAAAGTAGGAAATAGGTGAGTAGCCAACGAGAGACTTCACCAAGAACTCCCCAGGGAAGGCGCTCTCCGCCAACAGGCTCGCTTGGCGACGGCGAGCGGAGAGTGCCAGTGGGCCGGGGTGCGAGGTGGGGAGGGGCAAGGGAAGCCACAGTCCAGGTCACACACAGGCACAGTGCGGCGGCGGCACCGCGGCAGAGAGAGCGAGCAAGCGCGCAGCCAGGCGGGGTGCCAGGGCTCTGCGGGAACGCCCTCAGTTCCGATCCCACACTGCGTCCCCTTAGCATCCACTCCCAGCTGAGGAAGGGGTCCCTCCGGGTCTCAGGGGACTCTTTCCCCCTCCTCGACCCCAGTGGCTGCCATTGCAGACCCCAGCACTCTGAGCAAGGGAGAAAGTACACCGGGATTAATACCATCTCCAGACACGAGGAGAAATCCCCGCAGCCGGGGAAAAAGAGGGCTCTTTTCTAGAGGGCAGGTGGAGAGGGGGAGAGACAGCTCTCCCCATGCAGGAAGAGGGTGCCTTGGGGCCAGGAGCAGGGGGTGGGGTGGGGATGCGGGGTCCCAGAGGTGCAGGAGACTATTTATAGAGGGAAAAGGGTGCGATGCCCCCCAGGCCCAGCTCATGGGGAGGGGCATTCTGTGATTGGCCCTGAGCAGGGTGGGTGGGGCTAAGGAAGAACACGCCCACAGCTCTCAGCTCATCTCTGGAGGCCGATAAGTTACACGTAGGCCCTGGAAGGGAGAGGCTTCCCGGGGAGAGCTCTAGGGGGCCCGTCTCCTGAGATGGAGGCCTGGGATAGGCAAGAAACAGCAGGGCCGGGAAACCAGAGGAAAGGGGAAGCCTCCAGAAATCCACCCGCCCCCCACCCCACCAACCTGTTGAGGCCTAAGGAGCTTTCCCAACTCCACCAGGCATGGGTGGGCCATGCCAACCAAGGGGACCACCCTCTGTTGCCTCCAATGCCCTGGGGAGAGGAAGGGAAGAGGGAGCTGGATGGCGTGGAGGGAGCAGGGGGGCAGGGGAGAGAAAGGCAGCTCCCTGAACCTATGCCACCCATCGCCACCCTGTCTGCCATCTCTCCCTAGCCCCCTGGCCCCCTAGGAGTCCCTAGCGGCCCACACTGATGTTGCAGGTTTTGCAGCTGGGGTCCTTCTTGGCGTCAGCAGTGGACAGGCTCATGAGCTGGTGCCCGCTGATCTCCCCCAGGGTGCCCAGGGACAGGTCGACGGGCTCGGTGTAAATGATCTCCAGGATGAGGTCCTGGGCGTGGCGGAAGACCAGCTCCCCGTCCTCCACGCTGCAGGTCAGGAACTTGTTGCAGGCAATGTCCAAGAGGGGCAGGCGGTCACGGCAGAAGCGGTCCCCCAGGGAACCCTTGGGGGCCAGCACCAGGATGGCGTAGTGGTAGGCCGTGTACATACAGTAGAAGTCCGCAAAGTAGAGGTTGGTGCTGGGGTTGAAAAGGCGCTGGGCAGGGATCTGGAAGCGCCAGCGGCCGTAGGGGGAGTCCTGCGGGGGCTGGCCCGTGTTGAACTCCGTGTTGCAGCTGAAGAAGACACCGTGGAGCATGCCGCTGGTTGGGGAGCCGTGGCTGCCGCTGTTGTCCTTCAGGTAGGGCTGCAGCATGTTCCCGCAGTGGGTTCTGCCCACCCCGGGGAGAAATGCCAAAGGGAAGGGGAAACGCCATTGGTTAGCTGGCCTGAGACTTGGTTGCTGTGTGTGACCAAGAAGAGAGCCAGCCCAGTTTCCAGCTCTCCCACCAACTACCGCCTCCAACAGTCACAAATAGAACAGTCCAGAATGCAGGAGCGGGGAGGGCCCTGGAGGTGGGCTGATCCAGCCCACTCCTTCACGGAGAGAGATCTGAACCTGCCACTCCCCAGCTTCAAACCCTTTGATGTAGCTACCACAAAAAGCAGGGCCATGGAGAGCTGGTCTTTCTGGCCCCACCTCCTGCCACCCCCACCCACCATGCCCACAGGTAACATCCTCCAGCCATGCAGGAACCCCACCGCAGCTCTTTCCTGCCTCTGTGCCTTCGCAGGGCTCTCCCCTCTGCCTGGACTGCCCTTCCCTCCTTTCTCCACCTGACCTGGCAAACTTCTAATCATCCCTCAAGGCCCAGCACAGGTGTTCCTTCTTCTCTAAAACCTTCCAGGAACAGCAAGCACTTGCATTCAACAAAATTTTGACTGCCTACTGCTTGTAGGACACGGAACTTTACTCAGTGATCACCCATGCTGATTACATTCCATCTGTCTGCACTGTCCCCCTGATAGACTCTGAGGTTTGCAAGAGAGGGGACTGTGCCTTTATTCATCTTTATATCCTGGCACATACTGGGTGCCCCCAGTCTCTCTCTGACTTGCTGTTAGAGGAGCCCAGACTGGGTCAGAGCCCTCATCACTCACCTCACTGTCTCTCTTCTTTAGTACAAACACCAAAGAACCCCTTAGGTCCCTGCTGCCTTGGGGTCAGGTCAAAACGCCTAGCCCCAGCTGACAGCAATGATAAAGACAGTAATAATGGCTTGCCTTGGCCCAGCCTTAGAAGGACATGGACTTGGAGTAGTGTCAGCAGACATGGGGAGGATTAGCAGCCCCTGGTCCAGCCTCACTCTTGCCTGGTCCTGGCTGTCCTAAGTGACTAGTGGCTTGCTGGCCCTCTGGGCTACTTGTAGGCTGAGGGTGTTGGAGCAGATCACCAATTTTCAAACATTTTTGGACTGCAGAACCCCTTTCTTTTATCCCCAAAGGAAGTTATACACAGGCGAGCCATAAGCAATCAAGTTGAAGCTGCCTCACCCTCTGATTTCCTCACCAACCCTTCGACGCCACCTTAAAGGGTGCCCTGAGATCCTTCCCTGGAGCTTCCAGGCTTCTCAGCACACAGTTTGAAGGCCACGACCCTTCATGCTCAGAATCCTCTCACTCTGTGTTCCCCTCACCACCTCCCTTGGGACAAAGGGCCCAAGTTGGAGGGACAGCTGGCCCACAACCTTACAACCCCATGAAAGGAACTGTCCCAAAGTGGGATCAAACCCAGGACCTCGTTTTCTCAGGCCTATTAGTGGGGGGGAGCCCCCAGACAGCCCCATCCTGAGCATCCTCTCCTCCCCTGGAGCCCGATCGCAAGGAGCCAGACGTTCCCCCTGAGCCAGCCTGGGTTATGAGGGGGTGGGAACTCCAGAGTAGGGTCTGGCAACTAACAGGGCGGCGGTGACGTCAGACAGCCCAGGCGGGCCTGGCAGAGCCGGCGCAGGAGGGAGGGACCTGCAGGCCCTGCGGGGGGCTGCGCCCTACCTGGCGTGCTGGAAGTACTCCTTGTGATGATTGCGGTAGAAGACGGAGAAGCGGAGCATGCGGCCTGCGATCTGCTCGGCTTTCTCCTGCAGCTGGGCCAGGTGCTCCTTGGCATAATCTGCAAGAGTCCAGGTGGCTGAGCTGAGGGCTGGGTTGGGGGGTCACAGCCTCCCCCACAGACCACCCACAGCACACCATGAGCGCCAGCCCACCCCTGTCCTCAGGGTACGGGGGAGGCCGAACAGTCACAGCGCCTTGGACCAGGGAGGAATGGGCCAGTTGACCTGGCTGGGAACATGGACAGCTGGGTGCTGTCCGTCCCTGTCACCTCTGTGGCCTATTGTCAGAGGCTCAGGGCTCTGTATCAGAAAATGGCAGAGGGCTGCCAAGTTATACAATCACACCAAGGGCCCCAGGGGCCGTAAGCCCAGACCATCCTCGAGGGCAAAGAGGATCAACAGGCCAAAGAAAGACTGACGGGAGAATTCGAGGTCCTTTGGGGAGAGCCCCTCAAATCCAGCAGGTAGGAGGCTGTCCACACTGCCACAGGGAAGCCGGCTGTGATGGTAGGGGGGACTCAGGAGGAGACTGCAGAGAACCGAGGTGCATGTTCAGCCAGACCAGGGCCTGGGGCGATGACTTTGCTTCGGCATCCCAGGAGAAAAGGGGACAGCAGAAACTGGATAGTAAAATTGGACTCCCTGGGCAAGGGCCAGAGGCTGGGACGCTGGGGCCTGGGCAGGGCTGCTGCTAGTCTAGACAATGCCTTTGCACAAAGTAGGAAAAGGTGTTCTTTCCTGCTTGGTGATGCAGCCCTGGCCAGGGTGCTGGGTTTGCCAAGGAAGGGAAACCGGATTGCAGCCACCCCCAGCTCCCTAGTTTGAATGAACTGTCATTACATGTAAAGTTCTGAGTAAACCAAGAGGCTTTCCCTGCGAGGTGCAGGAGCACCTCCAGAGAGTGGGGCTTTGCAGCCGAGCTCAGAAAAAGCACCACTCAAAAAGAGAAAGGCAGGTCAAGGAGACTTGGGGCACAGACGTGGCAGAGGATGGAGCCAGCAGCCTCAGAGGCCTGGGGCTAAGAGCGTTCCTGCCCCTTCCTTGTGACAGAGGGAGATCTGGAGCAGTTCTCACCGTGGACACCAGAATAATGGACTATTGTGGGGCAGATCCCAGGTCATCAGTGACCAAGTGCACAGAAGTCTGGTGTTTGTTCATGCTCAAATTTGCAAATTCAGTTCTGCTAGGTGAATTTGTGGGATCATTTTCCCGGGCTCAGTGGAGGCTCAGGACCAACAAAATGTGATTGTCCCACCTAGTGTCCATCGACCGATGATCAATAAACAAAATGTGGTCCATCCGCACAATGGGATGTTATTCAGCCTTAGAAAGGAAAGAAATTCTGACCCATGCTACAGCATGAGGAACCTTGGGGACATTATGCTAAGTGAATAAGCCCATCACAGAAGGGCAAATACTGTGTGATTCCCCTCATGTGAGGTACCGAGAGTAGTCAAGTGTACAGAGAAAGTGGAAGGGTGGATACAGGGCTTGGAGTGAGGGGGCGAGGGGGAGTTTAGCGGGCATAGAGTTTCAGTTTGGGAAGATGAAATGGTTCTGAATGTGGATGGCACACCAATGTGAATATACTTAAGACTCCTGGACTGTGCCCTGAAAAATGGTTGATGGTAAATTTATGATATGTGGACTTTACCCCAGTTATGCTTGCCCCAAGCCAGAAAAGTAACTCTATCCCTTTCTGGAAGCAGTATTGTCAATATGATTAGCAGTGCTCAAATCTGCCTTCTGCATCAGACTGCAGGCTTTTGTGGGGCTGGAGTGGGTCTCATCCATGGGCATCCCCCCAATGGCCAAAGCGTGGTGCCTGTGCACAGCAGGTGTTCCTAAGTGCCTGCTGGGTTAAGTTGAAGCCCCCTCCTGACCATCACTAGACCAGATGAGCCAAAGTAACAGGACAGCAGGGTCTCACCCCCAGTGCAGAACTCGACCGTCTCACTCCAACCAGACACCAGGTACTCCCCGTCACTCTGCTTCACAGCGGTCTGCACCGCCACACTGTACTCCGTGCGGGGACTCAGGAACCAGTGGCCTCTCACTGTCATGGGCAGGGGCACAGCCTTGGCCACAAGCTTGGTGGGGACATCCTGAGAAATGGGGAGCAGACAGAGAGCCAAGAGTCAAAGTGGGGGTCGCACCCGACCTTGGCATTGCCCCACACCTCCCACTCCCTGAGTGGCTGCCTCCCAGCTGAGGAGAGCCAGAGTCTCGAGGATTCAATGGCTCAGTGCCCTGGCCACCATTTTCCCGCAGAAGCCAGCAGTGGCCATTGGGAAGGCCATGCAGACACTCCCCAACTTCCACCCTCTTCACCCCGGATGCTCGTTCTCTTGGGAACTGAGGAGAAAGGCCACTGGGGTGGAGGCCCACAAAGTTGAGGGCGGCGAGACCTTCATTTTCGAGGGAGACTTGGAGAGCTCTGCGCACTGCAGCGCCGTCTCCACGGCAACGGCAAATGCTGAGAAGCCAGGGAGGAAGGGAAAATATGCCTTATTCTTTGGGGGGGAGGGTTAAGGGGGTGGTGTTGCACATTCACGTCACCGTGGCAACTGGCCTGCCAAAAGACACCCAGATCGGGGAGCCAGCTCCAAAGAGAGAGAGGGTGAGTAACGGGCACGATGCAGTCGTCGTGGGAACCAGCTCCTTCCCACCGCACTCTGCCCAGCCTCTCTGCCAGCCTGGGAAGATGGGAGCCTTCCTCCTGCCCGCCCCCACAGCGGCTCTAACCCCGGGAAAGGACCCCACAGCCAACGGGGGACTCGCCATCCCTTTTCTAAACCCAGCAAACAACAGGCCAGAGGGCCAGGGGCAGAGAAGACCGCGCAGGCCTAAGGGGAGAGTATTGAGGACCGAGCAAAGGGGCAGCCCCTGCCCCGGCCCCCGTTGCCCACCCAGTCAGCACCAAGGCTGCTTCCTGAGTCGGGGCTTTGTTGGACCCTGAGACGCCCCACCCTAGGTTTTCCTCCCCGCGTGAAGGCCTAGTCATGACGCTGATCACAGTGAGTCATGGGTCCAAGGAAATATCACCCCAACATCACCCACCTCACAGGCTGGTATTATTATTATCCCCTCTTCACCTGTGAAGGAGAGAGATTAAATAACCTGCCCAAGATGACACAGTAAGAAGAGCTGGATTTGGGTCAGGCCTCTGACACCCAACGTCACCTGCAGGACTTCCATCTCCTGCCCCCTTCAAGGACAGGTGCCGAGGAGGCGCTCTGGGCGCGCTGCACTCACCCGGTGCTTGAACTTGTTGGAGTTCTTATTCTCCTTCTTGTTCAGGTCGATGAAGTAGTGGGTGACCCTCTCCAGGTCACTGTTCTCCATGGCCCAGGAGATGCGGAAGGAGTCACAGGTGATGTTGTTGACCTCGATGCTGTGGGGCGTGGACAGCAGCTCCATGCTCCCCACTGGCTTGGCTTCTGTGGGGACTGAGGGGACGGGAAGACTCAGCCCCTCCCTCCCCACCACGGAGTCTTCTAGAATGTCTTGCTCCCAACATCCCTTGCCAGGTGGAAACTTGAGGAGACATTGATTGCACCTGCCTCATCAAATCTGATAGGAAGATTGCATGGGGAGGGCTAGAGGAGTGGGACTGAAGGTGGGATGGGGTGTCCCCCTCGGGGGGCTCTTGGCTGTCCTCAGAGGGGGTCTACAGAGCAGAAGGCACCTGACAGGTGGCGGAGGCAGTGGGAATGCTGCAGGCGCTGGGCGGGACAGATTTGCAGCAGATGGAGCCGAGGAGGGGGCCCTCAGCCAGCAGGCAAGAAGAGAGAAAGGGGTGGGGTGGAGAGAACAGTGTGAGGCGGAGGGAGGTAGGAAGCACCCACTGAGGAGACGGGTGTGAGGGTTGAGGCCGGCAGAGGGCATGGCGGCCGAGGGGCCCAGGGTGCCAGGGCTCAGGCGCCCTCCTCTCTGGGGGTGACTGAGCAAGGGCCACCATGACCCGGGGCTGGGAGTATAAGTGCCATAGAGATGACGTGGGTCCACTGGTGGCAGCAGGAGCAGCAGGGCCACGGCTCTCTTTCACCCATAACTTTTCAACCCTCACTCCTTCTCCTTCAGCACATCCTGTTGCTTGACTCTTTTAAATGATTAGTTTTTACCTTTACATCTGTTGCAGGCTGACTGTGCTAATAATTTCACAAACATCATCTCAAGAAGGCCTCCCAATAGGTGGGTACCATTATTATCCCATTTTACAGACGAAGTAGCTGAGGTCGGGGTGGGGGTAGTGAGATGCCAAAGGTCACACAGCCAGAAAATGATTTGAACTCAGGCCTGTCTGACTCCAGAGCCCAAAGTCTTTAACATGAAGCTAAGGATGTGTCCCCTCATGTATGTGTGTATGTGTGTGTGTGTGTGTGTGTGTGTGTGTGAGCTAGAGACGTGTGTGGCATGTGTGTCTGCACATGTGCACCTGGTTTCACCACTATTTATTTTTCCTCCTTCCGTCCTTCCCTTTCAAGGAATTGCCTTGTCTCTCACCTCCCTCTCTCACTCCTTTGCTTCTGCCCCTGGCTGCTCTTCCAGGTGCAAAGGGACCACACTACCATCACTCTCGCCTGTGCTTTAGCTAGGATGCGCTAACTCTGGCCTTGACTTTGGCCTGGCTCACGGGAGCTCTGGGGAGCAGGGTGGGGAAGGGAGAAGGGGAAGGAAAAGGGAGGAACTGTCTCTGGTTCAAGAACGTGAATGTGGTTGGATTCTCTCCCAGGGCACGTGCTTAGCACTCTATCAAGCTCATGCCTTCCGGGTCTTCTTCAAGTCCAGTCCCGGCACACCTGAGATTTCTGCCTCCTTTTCTTCTCCTTCCCTCTCCCTCTCCTCTCCTCGCCCAGGCGCTAAGGGTGAGGGTACCTTGTGCCTTCAAAAGCAGGTACTTCTATTTATAGCTTCCAGAAGATCCAACCCACTCTCCTGTCATTTAAGCCTGCTCGGGAACCTGGCACCTCTAAATTAACCCATGGGCGCCTGAGCGGCAGGCACAGGGTGACGGATGTGGGCGATGGCCCTCACCTGCCCCAGGATGTCACCTGAGTCCTTGTTTTGTCTTAACTTTCCATCCTAAAGTGTGTGCCTGCCTGTTGTGAAGTTCAGCAAAAGCCAGTGGCTTTGTGCATGGGGAAATCCTGTGGTAAATAAGCATGCGGGTGCTACCAAGTCCATCCCAAATAAAACAGAATGGGGTCGGGTGTCTGGAAACAACTGTATGATAATAAACCAGTTGGTAATTCAAGAGGGCAAGTGTGGGGCAGCGGGGAGTTGCCAGCCCCTCGGGCTCCCAGTGAGGAGCTCCCCCGGGAGACACACGTGCGCCCCCCACATGCACACACACACGTGCACCCACGCACACCAACACAGGCACACACCCACCCCAGAGGACCTGAGCGGCTGCCTCCCACCCACTTGGGATGCAGTCTACGCCTACCGGGTGGGTGGACACCTATTCCTGTCCCCAAACTCCCCCCAGAGGCAGGGGCAGCCGTGTTTGGTGGTGGGTGTCTCTGGGACCTGGCTCCTCCTTTCCTCTTTACGGTTCTAGGAGAGCTCAGATCACCCCCACTCCCAGGCTGGATTAGGGGTGGCAGTGAGTGACACTGGGAGAACAACAAAGCTGGGTGGACCAAGGGTGGGTGTGCACCCAGTTCCCAAGCCCAGATGATGGGGAAGGGCAGGGTTTGAGGGACAGGCTGAGACAGCATCTAAGAAACACCCACAGTCCCATGAAATCCACCCTGAAACAAGCATTTACACACCCACCCATAGGCACACCCACATGCGCTGGGTGTGGCCACCCACACCTGCCACACACAGCTGCACACACCCCCTCAGACATCCTCGTCCCACACCTACGCACTCAGGTACCTTCTGCCACCTTCCGCATTCTAAGAATGTCCACAGTTGTCCCTCCACAAGCTGTCACCTCCACACATACCCACACATGTTCACGCCCACAGACTCTCACACTCACGTATGCACGCATGCCTTCCCACAAGCCATATTTGGGGAAGAAAGGAGGCCACAGGCACCAACATGCACACATGCCACCTCCACAGCAGCACGCAATCCCTCCGTCTGCTTGCGCACACATGTGCAACCTCTGCCCATATTCTGGTATTTCTCTCTTAAGCTTCCTCAGGCTCAAAGACACAGACTTTGAAAATGTGCATGTCTCCACCAGGCTCTGCCAGCCCTGAGCCCTCACATGCCAACAGGTTTGCGCACCTACGCAGGGCTGCCCACGGACAGTGGCTTCTGCCCACACTCTCCACCTACGTCCCCCTTCTGCTCTGGAGTTGCACCTCCCCACAGAGAAACCCTGTGGTCGCATGCACCCCCCCCACACTCCCACACACATGACAAGTGGTATGTCCACCCCATAAAAATATACTGCCTCACACCACCCCCGCCCACATATACCCCAGGCTGCTCAGATAAGTGATCCCCTCAACATGGACCTCACGTGTACAAGAAACGTATGTTCCTAGACATGCCACACAGCAGTCAAGACCCACACATGAGCCTAAGTGCAGGCGGACACAGCCATGTACGCAAGCAGCTCTCCTGGCGAGCAGGCACTCCCGCTGAACACGCCGATGCCCCCGGCCCATGCCCATTCAGGACAGCCACCGTGTGCCAGAGGGAACGCACCCCCCCCAACCCCGCTGTCCCCGTTGGCATCTCTGACTGCAGCAGAACGGTCACGGGGTGACTGTGGTGCCCCCGGGACCTGATCCAGCTGTGAACTCCTTTCCCAAGGGCCTCAGGGAAAGGGGACAAGGTCGTCCGCCCCAGTAATACAGGTGGGCACCTCAGACAGAGGCAGGACCCTGATGTCCCCAGCTCTCAGCCCCTGGTCACCCGAGTCCCTCATAGGATTGACAGCAGGATGCTCTGGGGAGAAAGGACACTTACCTGGCTGCACTGGGCTCTGCAGAGGAAGACCTGGAAGGGAGGAAAGGGAGAGACCTCTGTGTGGACGGGCTCCCCAGGCAGAGGGGCAGCAGCTGGACGCCCGGGTCACAGGCAGCAGCGCTCGCTCGCTCCCCTGGCTCCTCTCGCGGCTGCCAAGGAGGCTTCTTCCATGCCCCGCAGGCAGCTCCCGCCTGGCTCTGCAGCGCAACGCTGCTGCCCCCTGAGAGGCGATGTTCCCAGCCGAGCGCCAGGAGAGAAGCAGGAGCGAAATCAAAGCGGCGTGGAGGAGAGAGAGGCAGAGAAGACGAGAGAGAACGAGAGAGCCAGACCGAATCTGGCTCCACCAATGGGATCAGTGGCTGCCCAGCGTCAGGTGACAATAAGCAAGCTTGGGCCCTGCTCGCCTGGGCTGGTGGGAGGGGTAAAGGGCAAAAGGGCCAGGGAGCTACACCAGCTTCCTCGGAGACCACAGCAATAGCCACCTTTCCCCCATTCTTCCAGGACAAGCTGCCCTCAGAAGTCCCTTGGACACACCCCTGCTTGGAAATCTCTTACTTGAAGGCAGCCCCCAAACTTTAGGATGCTGGGAGAGGGGTGGGGCTTAGCCTAAGGGCTCGGGAGCTCCAAAGCAAGGATTCTGATTGGGGGATGGGAAAGGGGCCTGGGAGGAGGAAGGGTCAGATGGGGTATGGAAGCTGCCAGGGGTGGGGAGGGGGGTTCTGTCTTCAGTCTGGGTTCTCTCCTCAAGGCCTTTAGCTGATCCGTGGCTCCATTTTCTTACCAACTCTATAAAGAGATATCGAACCATCAGCCCCAGGGACCCCTGATCATCTAGGGAGAATGTGTGGCTGCTTAAGTTCCCCAGGGAAAGAAACAAGACGGAGCGATTGTGCAGCAGTGAAGGGTGTACAAGGCAAGAAAGTAGGGGTGGCAGAAACACACAGAGCTTGGCATGTCCTCATCCCAGCCAACCTCCCAGGCTCAGAGGAGCCAAGTCCTGAACACCCGGGCCAGAAAGATTACTATCTGCTCCCTTATCGACAGGAAGCTTTTCTGCCAACAAGATATGAGGACTCTGAGGACGCCGCCATTGAATAACACTCAAGGAAATCTGAATCAAGTAACCAACAGTGACACAGAGTATGTACAGTGTGGGAAAGCCTGGGCTTTGCAGTCAGATATGGTCAGAATTCTTGCTCCATCACTTTCGAACTGGGTGACCTTGGACAAGTTACTCAACCTCTCAGCGCTTCAGTTTCTCCATCTGTCAAGTGGGATAATAACAGAGGCTTGTTGTCACCATTGAGTGAGAAATTATGTACATCGCTGAGCTCTGCTGGTACACAAGATGTGCCCGGTCACCCGCCAGAACTGTTACCATCGCTATCACTATTGACAGGGTCTGCCTTCAAGGAGCCCACTGTCTTCTAGGGGAGAAAAGATGGACATTTAGAGATCCAATTAGAGGACAAGGCGTATACAATTGAATTGAGGGTACAGATGAGGAATCAGAGAAGGAGGAGTCAGGACCAGCTCCAGAGAGCAGGTGAAGCACAGCCAAGAGGAGATGGAGGAAGCAGCAGTGTGGTGGGGGTGGGGAGGGTTTGGTGCAGGGACAGCAGACGGGGACAGGGTGAGAGCCTCAGAGAGCTGTAGAAACATGAGCTGAGCATAGGGACACTCCCTGAGAGGGATTCAGGGGCTGCAGACATCAGCAGCAAAGACTGAGGAGGTGACAGTGGACAGAAAGTGAACAGTTCACAGAAAGCAAAGACCAGCAGAAGCCAGTCCTACCCTAAATGGTCATAGAGAACCCGAGCAAGTTTGGTCAGATCCAATGTGATGCAGGGTGTTACACTGAGGCAGGATTAAGCACTCCCTTGGCCAAACATTAGTAGGTCCCGCCCCTCACACACCTACACTGAGATGTTGAAACTACAAAGAGATGCAACATGTAATCTCATGGTTATGGCCAGCATCTGGACCAAAACCTGGACCGTACAACAAACCTGAGGACTGCGACTCGGTTCCCCCTTTGTAAAGGAAGACTAGTCTCAGCATATCCCTGCCTCCCACCTTCACACGAGGGCACGTGGAGATCACATGAGATCATGTGTCCCAAGCAGAGAACAATAGCCATCTGAATGCGCTTTTGTGGAGCTGGGTGCTGGCGTCAGGTGAAGGCACAAACCCTCTGAGAGCTCCTGCCTCTTCTTGCCCCAGAGGATGTCTCTGCAGATCACATGGAAAAACACACACAGTAAGAGGAAAGCATAATGTGCCAAATGTAACTAACTCCAGATGAAACCAAAAAACAGCCAAGATAACACTTCTACTGCATTTTTATTTTTAATAAATTTTTATTACATAGGTCATAGGCAATCGTTGTAGAAAGGTGAGAGATTTAATTCTAAAATTTAAGAGAGAATTAAAATTGCTTGTTTCCCTGTCATTCAGAAATAGGCGTCTAAGATATATACTTTATTAGCAAAAATAGAAAGTATAAATACGGTTTTATAACCTGATTTTTTTTCACTTACCAGTGCCTGTTCTGTTCATTACATAGTCTTTCTACAGCATCGTTTTAAAATTGCTGTATATGTCCTATTGTCAGGTTTTACACCCTTCTTTGGAGCCAATCCCCAACTAGTCTATGATAAACTTATTTTACTTTTTCTCCATTCTAAACAACACTGCAGTGAACATTCTTGCAGCAAAATCTCTTCCCATACTTTAGTTATTTTTCCAATAAAACATTAAGGGGTATAATAAATGAAAGGGATCATATTCGGATACTGATTTAAACAAACTATTAAAAAAAATCCCATGTAACAATTGGGAAATTTGAATACTAACTGGATATTTAATAATATTTAGGAATCATTAGTTCTGATATATTTTATAGTTATTCTTTTAAAAGCATATCCTTCAGAGATACATAATATTTATCATCCACTTATCATCCATAAATATATGGATGATATCTGTGATTTGTTTCAAAATAATCTTGGGCGATGTGGGGAGTGCATATGAAAGGTCAGCAGGGGTGGATAATTGTTGAAACAGGGCACTTTGAGATTCAGTAAGCTACTGTCTCCACTTTGGTGTATGCTTGGAAGTTTCCATATTAAATATTGTATCAAAGCCATGATTATAATAATAACAAAAACATTTATTAAGCACCATGACACACTGCTAGGCATGCAATTTTCACAACAACCTTGAGAAGTGAATCCACCCTGTTTTCAAAAGGCAGATGGTAAGAAATGAGACTCAGTCCATAAGAAATCAAACTAGAGACAAATTCAGGTCTGAGTACAAAAGCTAGGTTCTTCACGACAGAAGGACACAGAGCAAATACAGAGTCTGAGGTAGCAGAGAATGAGGCTGTGCATGAAAAAAAACTACAGTCTTAATATTGCTTATGCACTTTATACACTTAAAATGTTTACATGTGTTCCCCCCTGGTTGAACTAAGTATGGCGATCTCATGGGCCAATGAATGCAGACACATCCAGGCAGCCCATAAAAAACAGATACCTCGTTCACTTACAAGCGTTGATAATGACAGGAGTGGGCAGTGACTGTTTATAAAAACGGTGTGGATGTCTCAGTGCTTATTTACTTTATCTGTTTGAAATTATGTTTAGACTTCCTACAGCCCTCACCGGTCACCTATTTTGAACTTACTAAAGAACATTAATTCTAAAAACTGGACACATTTCTAAGTTCACTCAACTAAAGAATATAATTAGTTTTTTAGCTTTTTTAAACTTAAATGTTTAACAATTTTAAGACATGGAAAAATATCAGATGATATTTGAAGACTGAAAAGCTATTAGAAGAGACACTAAAGGTACGTTGGAGAGGCAAAAGAAACTTCAGGGGACGAAGCTCGAAAACAATGAAGAGAGCCAAGACATGGAAGCAACCTAAATATCCACTGACAGGTGACTGGATAAAGAGGTGAGATATATATATAATGGAATACTACTCAGCCATAAAAAAGAATAAAATAATGTCATTTGCAGCAATATGAATGGACTTAGAGGGCATTATGCTAAGTGAAATCAGTCAGAGAAAGACAGTCACTAAGCTATATCTGACGTGGATAAGCATAATGGAGGAATTATGGAATACCACTGGGCACCACATGGCAAGACACCAGGGACAACACTTAGACGTACTGAATACACGAACTCCTGCCATGCTGGGAAGGCTTCCCTCCACGCACTCAGGATTGACCACACTTCCTCTGTTTAGAGAGTTACATACAGAGAACCTATAGAGAAGACATAGGAAAATGCAATGCAAAGATGGCTTTTATATCAATGGTGCCAAAGTTAAATTACTGACACAATCCGCCTGGAAACAATCCACCCTTATTTTTCTAACACAACCTCCAGATTGGCCCCTTGGGCTCTCCACAAACTGGAATCCATTCATTCACTCCACAAAAATTTATTGGGTACTTAACTATGTATCAGGCATTGTTCTGGGCAATGAGGATACTGTCATGGGAGAAAGGAAAGCAGTCCTGCTCTCACAGGGTTTACTTTCTGATGCAGACAGATAAACAAACTCTATATTAGGTGGTGACAAGTGCTGTAGAGAAAAATAAGTCAGTACATAGGGACAGGGAATGTTGTGCGTGCGTGGGAGGTTACAATTTTAAACACGGCCATCAGAGAAGGCCTCCTCAAAAAAGTGACTTTGGGCTAAAAAACCTGACCAAAGGAAGGGAGAAGGGAGGGAGGGAGTCGTGCAGAATTATGCAGGGGAAGAGCATTCCTCTTAGCAGGCGCAGAGGCCCCTGACGCGGGAGCATGCCAGATTGTTCCAGATACAGCAAAGGGACCAGTGCAGCCGAAGCAGAGGGAGTGAGGGTAGCGTGGTAGGAGCTGAGGACAGACAGAGAGTTGGTGGGTGGACGGACAGATTACGCGGGGCTGCGTGGGCCAGTCTAAAACCTCTGGTTTGTACTCTGAAATGGCAAGCCACTGGGAAATTTAGAGCAGAGACCGACCTGATGTGAAATATGTTAATTATGCTATTAATTACCTTGGCTGAGGGGGTCCTGGTGGAAGTAGGAAGGCCAGTTAGGAGGCTATTATAATAATCACAGCCTCCTCACCAGAGGTGGCCTGGACCAAGGTGGGATATCAGTGAAGGTGGTGGGAAGTGGTAAGATTCTGGAAATATCTGGAAGCGCTGACATGTTAGCTGGACTGCATGAGAAAAAGGAGTCAAGAATAAATGCCAGGTTTCGGACCTGAACCACCAGGAGGGATGGAGTTGCCATGTACTCAGATGGGGAGCACTCTGGAGTAGTTTGAGGAAGAAGACCAAGAGCTTGGATGTGGACAGAAGAAGTTTGAGATGCTTAGCAGACATCCAGGTGGAGGTGCGGGCTAGGCCGAGATACACATCTGGAGTTCAGAGAGGTCCAGGCTGAGATAAACACTGACAAGTTGTCAGCATATAGCACATAGTTCCAAGTCAAAACACTGGACCCTTGCAAATGCAAGGGACCAAGTATAGAGTAAAAAGGGAAGTGTTCCGAGGACTGAATCCTACAGTTCTCCAGTGTCTCGAGTCAAGGAGATGAGGAGGAACCAGCAAGTAAATGACTGCAAAATGACACAAACAAATTGGGATAAATTATTCATAGAGAACATGTAATAGCTTGAACTTGGATAACATTTTCATTACCACGTATTTTTTTCCTACTAATATTTTTTATTCTACTGATATGTATTCAAAACAGTTCTTTATTCATTTAGCATTTCCAATGCCCATCAAGAATTCATAGAAACAGACTTTTGACAGAATCTGTTTATATCTTCTGAAGTCTGCAGTTAGACCCCTCAAAAGCTATATTTGTTCTTAAAGAGTTTGATTATTAGTTTCATTAAGTGATCAGACAAAAATGGGATTATTGTTTTACTATGAAATATGTCAAAATAAAATGCAGTAAAATGTTGTTAATGACAACGTAAGTTCTGCTAGAACCACAGATGTGATTACACGGGGTTCAGCTAGTAATGATTTACGACTTTCTTTTGAGGCTAGATAAGAGAATGAACATTCCTCCAGAAAAAATGAAGAGGGAAGTGTTGGAGCAAATAAAGAAAACAGAATAATGCCAAAAGAATATCAGCCTAATTAGAGGGAAAATTGGAGAATATTCTTAACAGGAAATTATAAAAATTGTTGTTTAGAAGTAAGCCCCAAAATGCTAAAGGTAGAAGGCTTGAGTTAAGTATTCTCTCCTCTTGTCCTTTTGGCATAAAAAATGCTGTGGAAATCCAATAAGCATCGCTGTGAGGAAACTGGTTACATAAATTATGGGGTAAGACAACAATGTGGAGTACTATTTAGCCATTAAAAATCATAATTTAGAGGAATAAAGTCAGAAAAATGTTTTCTTAGTATATTAAGAGAGAAAAAGCAGATTATAGAACCATATAAAAATGTCTCAATTTTTAAAAATCTATGTGCAAAGAAAAACAACTTCAAATATATAGAATTGTTGCTGGGATAATGATGGATGATTTTCATTTTCCTCTGGGTGCTTTTTTTAATTAAAAAAATTTTATTGAAGTATAGTTGATGTACAATATAAGTTTTCAGGTGTAAAACATAGTGATTCACAATCTTCAAAATTTAAACTCCATTTATTGTTATTATAAAATACTGGCCATATTCCCCAAGTTGTACAATATATCCCTGTAGCTTATTTAATACATAGTAGTTTGTACCTCTTATTCTCCTTCCCCTATATTCCTCCTCCTCACTCCCCTCTCCCCACTGGTAACCACTAGTTTGTTCTCTGTATCTGTGAGTCTGCTTCTTTTTTCATGAATTTGCTGTATTTTTTAGATTTCACATGAGTGGTATCATACAGTATTTGTTTTCTTCCATCTGACTTATTTAACATAATGCCCTCCAAGTCCATCTACGTTGATGCAACTGGAAAATTTTCATTCTTTTTTATGGCTGTGTAGTATTCCTCTGTGTGTGTACATATATATGCTTTTTTAAAATTTCCACATTTTCTACAATGAATAAGTATCTTTGTAAAAAGCAAAACAAAACAAAAACGTAGGAGCAGCTAGAAAGCTGGTGGACCTCAAAGCAATTTTATCTAGTGCTCTAGTCAGAAGCTAAGAGCCTCTGTGTGTAGCTCAGTAAGGGACAGGAAGAGTTTTCCTTTGGTTAGATTTAGTTGTCATAAAACCAATATGGAGAAAAGAAGTTGAAAAAAGTCTGGTTAGAAACCAACATTACAAATTAATAATATAATATTAATATATTATTAAATTGACAAAAATGTTTAAAATTTTAAGAGCCAATATTCAAATTGAGGTGGCAAAACATTATATATATATTCTTATATATTATATATATTCACGTATAAATTTTTATAGTGGTGATGCATATTAGCACAACCCTTTTTGAAAGTAATTCAGCAATATGGATGAACAACCATAAAATGTGCATGTTCAAAGTGGTACAGCCACTGTGGAAAACAGTTTGCAGTTTCTTATAAAATTAAGCATACAACTATCATTTGCCCCAACAATTGCACTCGTGGGCATTTATCCCAGAGAAAAGAAAACTTACATTTACACAGAAACCTGTACCTGTATGTTCATAGCAGTTTTATTCATAATAGTCCCAAGCTGGAAACAACCCAGATGTTCTTCAAAGAATGAATAGTTAAACAAACCATGGATACGCAGCAATAAAAAAGAACATATTAGTGATACACATGTGATACGTGCAACAACTTGGATAATCTCCAGGGAATTATGGTGAGTGAATAAAGCAATCCTAAGAAGTCGCATACTGTATAATTCCATTTTTGAATGATTTCCACTCTGGAAATAACAAAAGTATGAGGATGGAGAACAGATTAGCAATTACCAGGGATGGGTGGGAGGGAGGGAGGTATGGCTATAAAAGGGCACTAGAGGGATCCTTGTGGTGATGGAAACAGCTTGTATTTTGACTATCAATGTTGATATTCTGGTTGTGATACTGTACCATAGTTTTGCAATATGGTACTATTGGGGAAACTGAGTAAAGGGTACTTGGGATCTCCACATTATTTCTTACAACTGCATGTGTATCTACTATTATCTCAAAATTTTAAAGTTTACTTTAAAAATGAAGTACATCTTCTTTTGTACAGTTATCACAAGCCTGGAAATTTGTCCTGGGAATATAATCCAAAAGAAGGAAGAAGTTTAAATGCACCAGATGTTCACCAGCTCGTTATTTACAACAGGGAAAAGAAACAATTTAAGCGTCCAAGCAGGAAAATTAGCAAATCATGACATAGCCATCCGAGATCGTTTGATACAGCAACAAAGAAATGTTATTTCAAAAGAGAGGATTCAAAATTGTGGTACAATATGAAAGCCCCGTGAAGGGGACTGGAATATACTACAAGTTTTAATAGTTTGTCTATGTGGAATTCTACAAATGTTTTCCTTCCCTCAAACTTTCTGCAATGTTGTTACATGGTCTTAACATGGGGGTGGGGGGTAATAACAGTAAAGGTCATTTTTTATGTTATATTAAAGGTCGGAGTGACGATAAAAGTACTTTAAATTTGTCCTTCCCAGTAGAACAAACTTCGTTTCTCAGGTTCCAGGATCGGACCAGAAGTGCACACAAGGGCAAGAGTCCACGCACAGTCAGGAGCCCACAGTCCCGAGCCCAGGGGAGGTGCCATTAGGTACCCGGTTCGTCCGCTGCAGCTGCTCCAGCGCTGTGCCCACAGCCCCACCCCAGGACCCCACCAGGAGTTCGGGTAAGGGACCCCCGGGCGAGGGTGCAGCCCGGAGGAGCAGTGACCACTCCAAGGTCACCACCGCGCCGGCAGCCGAGGTTCGGCCCGGCCCAGGGCGCCCCGACTCTGAGTCCGGGTTTCGTTCTCGGCCCCGCGCCCCCCGCCCCATCTCGAGCCGCGACCCCGAGGCTCTGCAGCGGCGAATCCCCACATCGCGTCGTGGCGGTCGCCCGGCTCCCAGACCACGAGCTGGGCGCCCCCACCTCACGCCCCGGGCCAAGACCCCCGAGCGCTGCATCGCGGTGTAACCTAGACCAGTCCCCTCTTCCTTTTTCGCCCTCTCAACCCAGCTTTTCCCGACTCCGGGAAGAACCGGGAAGAGAAGGCGGAGGGGAGCGAAGCGCCGCCGGATAAATACTGTGGCCCGGCCCCGCCCACCGACCTCACTTCCGCCCCGCGGCAAGATGGCGGCGCCCGGGTCCTGCCACGCAGACTTCCGCCGGGCGCTGAGGCGCGGGGGCCGCCGCGGGTCGCGTCGGAGGTGAAGTCGGGACGTGCGTGGTGCGGAGCCGCAGCCCGGGTGCGCTGGGGTGCGTCCCTGCCTCGTGTCTGGCCGGGGGCCTGGGGAGCTGGCGAGTCAAGGGCTCTAGCCGGGGTGTTGCGAGGAGTCTCGCCACGTGGGAGGGGGAGGAGCTGAGGCGCTGCGGGAGGGATGCGCTGACTGGGAGACGGGAGGCCACGTGGGTGGGGTTCCGCCCAGGGTCCGCGTGTCCTCCCCCTCCAGTGACTCTGTTACCCCTTTCCTCCTTCTCTTCCAGGCAACATGTCGGAAGGAAATGCCGCGGGCGAGCCCAGCGCTCCGGGAGGGCCCCGACCCCTCCTCTCTGGGGCCCGGGGGCTTATCGGGCGGAGGCCGGCGCCTCCCCTCACCCCGGGCCGCCTTCCCTCCATCCGCTCCAGGGACCTCACCCTCGGGGGAGTCAAGAAGGTACCCGATGGCACCTTTTAAAGAAACCCAGCTACTCTGGATTCCAGGCACCTGGGGGTTCGACTCATGTTCATGTAGGGTCTGCCGTGTGCCAGGCGTGGTGTTGGGCCTCGTGAATCTTGTCCTCAGAGTTTTGCCTACAATTTCTGGGGAGCCTGCCCTCCCTTCAAGTCAAGATATTGGGTACAAGATGTTGACATGGTCTCAGGGATGGCTGAAGAGCAGAGAATCCTAATTAGTTCAAAAGCAATTTGAGTCGTGTTTGTTTCCTTTTCGTGTGTGCTTTGGACGCCTTTAAGAAAACCCATGCAAGCCACACAGGCATAAACTAGGGCTGCAGTTTTAGAGTTCTAAATTTTCCATGGATCGCAGTGTGCAGACTTCTGATCCAAAGTATTTTGAGTCCTAGGCATCATATTAGACGTTCTGTGTCCTCTCCTATTGTGTTTATGACTGTAGATGTAAAGGGTAACCCTTAAAGGGTAGAGGGGAGGATGACAGCATATAAAGCAGCCAGTTTTTGAAGACCTAAGTTTACTTTGGGGAATTGTGGTGTCAGTTTATCATCTGTTTATGAGTGCTGGCGGATCTTTCTCTCCTACTTGAGCCTTGCTGCCAGGGCCCTTTCCCTATGATACTGTCTGGTCCCTATAGCACTCTGAAGACCAGAGGTGAGATTAGGTAAATTCTTTTGCTGTTACAAGTCCTGAGGGCTCTCCTTTCAGAGGGCAGAACCTGAGGCTACTGTTTAAATGTTTTTTGATGCCCCTTTCTTCTGTGTAACTCCACTGCCACGATGACATGATATTCTTTCTTTCCAAATACATGTGCATGTCTATAAATCTTTGATCACAGTGTGGAGTGTGCAGAGGAGAGCCATGGTGGTCTTGGTCCATAGAAGGTGCCCTTTGGGAGTTTTTATTTTCTTCTGTACTTAGGGATCAGAACTTACCAAATCAGTGACTCCTGTATTTTACTTTCAGAAAACCTTCACCCCAAATATCATCAGTCGGAAGATCAAGGAAGAGTAAGTTGCTAGGTCTTCTGAATACTTGTCCCTTGTTTACCGGTTCTGAATTTGGGCTTTTGGGGGAATAACTAGGTATGTGGCTCGGAAATTTAAATTTGAAGATTTAGTTCTTTTCAGTAGTGATTTTCAGCCCTGGCTCCCAGATGATTCTAATACACAAGTTTAAAAAAAAAAAATACTGATGTAGGGGAGTCCATCCCTAAAATTGTAATTTAACTTGTTTGCAATGAAACAGAGTGATTATCTTTTATAGCCAGATTTGAGAGACAACAGTTTGGACAGAGATACATCCCTTAAGGTTTTCCCTTAAGTTCTTTTGCATTGTGGGCTTCCTGCTTTCAGCCAATACAAAAATAATCCACATTTTGAGGTAGTCTATAATTCAGCTTTAGAGTTAGAGTTCT